ATGGGAGTTTTATTTTCTTTAGGTATGAAAATGTCCTTATAATTTTATTTTTTATTAACCAATCAATTATTGGTCTCAATTATGTTTGAACAGTAGGACACACTACTATTCAGATATATTGCAACTCTGGTTACATATTCTTAGGATTCTGTGGTTTGGTGTTGCACTGACGGGTATGCTTTCCACTGTCCCTCTGTCCACTTGGTTGTCTGAAACAGCCAGAAACCACAGTTGGTCTGGGTGATAGTGAAAATGCTGGTGTCCAAAATCTTGCGTGGACATTCTTTAGTGAAACCGCCTTTTGGAGAAGGAGGAGAATGCAGGATCTAACAGTTCCCTTAACCCTTAGTTAAAGATGTATGGCACCCACAAGCCATACTTAGGGATGTCTGTTGAAGCCATTTACACATAAAGATACAGTTAAAGTTTAAATTTTAAAAAATGTATTACAGTAAAAGACACATTGCCATTAACGCCCTTCAAAACACTCAAAATACCCACCTCCTGATTTTGAACACACTTACCCCATCTTCCTTGGCCACCTGTCTTTTTTTGTAACAAGGTTTTAAAATTTAAACACTTGCCGTATTTTTAGATCACCCTGGCAAATGGCATCTCACTACAAATGTTCTACAATTTGATATTTCTGCTCAAGATTCCGTGTGAGCTTGCTTCATCCATGTTCCTAAGGCTCATTCTGCTTCCTGTGCTTTTGCTCTTCACTGTTTTCCTGTGTGAATGAATGTGCTGCTCTTTGGCATCCACTCACCACGCTTTTGGCAATCTAACAGTGGATATTTGATCATATTCCAGATGTGTTGCCCTCCGTGATGTGGACACACCTTAGCCAGTCAATAGAAGACCTGATTACAACAAGAAAATCTGGGTAAGAGGGGACATCTCCTGCCTAACTGCCCCGGTACCAGTCTTTTCCTGACTTCAGACCGGAACCGGAACCTGAGCTCGCCGTGGGTCTTCAGACTGCAGACACACGGCTGGAGCGTCACCATCTGTCCTTCACTACAGGTCTTGGAACTTGCTTTTCCATAATCATGTGGGCTGGTCACTGGTAAGATCATGTAGCTTGTCTCCTTTAATGGACCAATGTCATAAAAGGTATTTAAATGTTTTCTCATTTTGAAATATTCCTAAATTTCTAGAACAACCTTCAGTTGGTAATGATGTAGTATTCCTTTAAATATTGCTAAGTTTTATTTATTCATATTTATGGGATTTTTGCATCTGTAATCTTTAGCAATATAGGCCAATAAATTCCGTGTATCACACTGTTCTTGTCTGGGTTTGAAATTGTGATTAAAATGAGTCGAAAAGACTTTCCTTTTTTTTGGTATTGGTATTCTTTCATTTTTTTCAGTTTGAATGCAAGAGGATCTGCTTAAGGTAACAGTTCCCAATATTTTTGGCATGTGGACATTTTCATGAAAGACAGCTTTTCTTTTTTAAAAAATCATGTATTTTTATTGGTACATGTTTGCAATGCATACTGATTACGTTTATTATGGGGAGTTTGTACATGTTTATAGCACATCTTAATTCCTTTTTGTCTCCTTCCCCTCCCATCCCTCCCTGTTTCCTCCAACACTTGATCTCCTTCCTATTTGAAAAAGTTCTATTTCCTTTTTTCTTCTAGTCTCTCCTTTTTAAATCCTTTTTCTCTTCCTTCCCCCATGTCTTATTTCCCTTCTCTTTTGAAATAGATCTTTCTATTTCCTATTATCTATCTTTTATTTTGCTCTTTATTTACATTTTTATTTCTCATGAAAGAAACCATTTACATATGTGTGTCTGTTTTATTTTACTTAACATTATGGTCTTGAGGTGCATCCATTTACCTACACGTGCCTCAGGTTTATCCTTCTGTATGGCAGAGTAGTACTCCATTGTGTGTAAATAGCATGTTTTCTTTATTCATCTGTTGATGGGCATATAGTCTGCTTCCAATATTTAGCTATTATGAATTGTACTACTGTCAACATGCATATGCATTTATCACTGTAATATGATGACTTTAACTTTTTTGGTAAGATTCCTAGAAGGGTAATACTGAGACAAATGGAATTTCTATTTTTAGTTTTTTGAGGAATCTCCATACTGATCTCCATAGTGGTTGTACTGGTTTACATTCCCACCAGCAGCATAGAAAAGTCCTTTCCTCCCAACAGCCTCTCCAGTATTTGTTGTTATTTGGTTCCTTGGTGATGGCCATTCTTTCAGGAGGAAGATGGAATCTCAGTGTTGTTTTAGTTTGCATTTCTCTGATGGCCAGTGATGTTGAGCATTTTTTCATGGATTTATTGGCCACCTGTACTATGGTAGACAGCTTTTGCACTAATGAGGATGGAAAAGTGGTGGTGCTGGGCTTATTCAAGTGCGTTACCTTTATTGTATGAGAATTATATTATTTCTTTGTGCACTTTATTTCTATTATTATTATCACATTAGATTCCCATAGGGAGCGGCACTCTAGATCCTGGGCCTGCACAGTTCCCAGCAGGGTTCTGTCTCCTGTGAGAATCTGATGCCATCCTGACCTAACCAGAGGTGGAGCTCAGGCAGTAATGCCAGCCAGCAATGGCGCACAACTGGAAATACAAGTGAGGCTCACCCGCTGCTCACCTTCCATTGTGTGGCCAGATTCCCAGCAGGCCTGGGGTCCGGGGACCCTGCTTTCAAAGTTAGTTAACCAGTTTCTAGACTAGTATAGGTCTGGTGTCTGCCCTCCACACATTTTAACTTCTGTGGGGACAGATTCTGGGTCCTGGGTTTAGTTTCTTTTGTTTTCTTTTTTTGTTGTTTTTTGGTACCGGGGATCGAACTCGGGTCCTTGCGCTTGTGCAGCAGGCTGCGAAACCACTGAGCTAAATCCCCGGCCATGGGTTTAGTTTCTTAAATGGTTATTGGTTTACTTCTGTTTTCTATATTTTCTGGAATTAACTTCTTAATTTATGTTAGTATAGAAATAGTCAATTGATCATAATTTGCTAACATAGTACTCTAAACATGCATAAGTTTCATCTGTGTTTTTAAAAATATTCTTTTTGTGGCTAACTATCCCTCTGTTCAAACATATTTTTGCCTGTGAGCCTTTTATTCGCTCTTTTTTCTCTCCTCAGTCTCACTGTGCATTTTCTATTCATTGGGTCTTTGTCTCCTTGTATTTACAAAGTTGATTTTGTTAAACTCTCGTTTAAAAATCTTCTCTAGTTGATTTTTCCACATCTTGTGATAAGCTTCCTTTCACGTTGGCTTTGCTGACTGATGGCGTGGGATGGGGGTGAGATTGGAGAAGAAATTTCCCTGTGACGCTGCTTTGAGTAGAAACTCCTAGTGCTGATCTGCTCCAGTGTCACAGAGAAAATAAAACTCAAGCTTTTCATTTTACTTGATGAGTATCAAAGCTTGGGATATGTAAAACCCCAGGATGGAAATTTATAAGTTCTAAGACTTCAGAATCAGGGTATCATCATAACCCTGGACTATGCAGTGTCAAGTTTAAAGTATATTTCAACCTTCCTGATTCAAAGCAACTAAGGTGGATTCCAGGTGGGGTGTATGCTGAGGGAACTGCATTACTCTACGTGGATGCCGTAACTGTGGTTAAGGTCTTGGCAGCATTTCTCTGAAGGTATCTGTGGAAACATGAAACACTGGTAGTTTCCGAACAAATCACCTTCCATCTGCTTGTTTCAGTAAGCAGGGTCTTTTCAGAGCCTGGTACTAGGCTAATTTCAATTTAAATAAAAACACCAAGGCAGGTGCTCTTCCTAGGTGACTGTGAGATTATCATCTCCGCAAATCCACATTTTCAAACTGAAATGTAGGCAGCTGTCCTGCAGGCTCCAATCCCTGTTTAGGCTCCTGCTGAGAACTGCCATCAACAGATTCTAATTGTAAAAGTCAGTGAAAAGAGAACATGAGTTCTGAAATTCTAGTCTTCTCTGGTCCACTTTTCAGTGTGGAGAATTATAAGTGTGTTTGAAATATAAGAAAAACCCCAAGAGACCACATTCAGAAAGAAATCATGCTGCCCTCAGGAGGCATAACTGCTTAAAAAGATAGCAAATGTGCATTTTTTCTTAGCAGAAGACAATGAAAAATATAACTCACTTTGGGCTGATACATTTTAAATGCTGCTTATCAAATGAAATGCATTGAATAATTGAATTCTTTATATGACAATTTCTTTCTTTCATTAGTACGACCCTTTCACTCTTCCATAAATTTGGTTTTACCTTTTCTAAAAAAAAAAAAGCTAATGCTATTAAGAGGTATTAAAGATGTAATATGTTGTAAAGGACAGCTAAAATGTGGATTAAATTTGCCCCCATTTGGGACCCCCGTATGCACACTTGCATGCATGCACATGCCACTGTTGGGCTAATTTTAAAAGTGATCTATCCTTGACACAGTATTTGCTTTTAAAATGATTTCAAAAGGAACTATTCTTTCTACATCTTCATGTCAAATGCAATTGTCTGGTTACTGAGTGAAATGATTATGGAAAAAATAGAGACCAATGCATTTTTACATGCAGACATATTTATTAGAAAGCAGAGAAGCAACAAAACATAAGAAATTCGCTGTAGGTGACAAAAAGAATAAAACTGCCCCCCCCCCAGGTCTGAGGGTGTAAAGCAGTGCTGCACAAAAGGTGTGGTTGCTGTCTAACCTGTGGCAAGAACAGTAATAGAGCCCCGAGTGAAGAGGAGAATGAAGAATCACGAGGATTAGGCTAATTTCGTAGCTGGTGGACTACAAATTAGTTCATATTTGGTGCCAACATTGGAAGGAGAGACTAGCAAAGAAGAGAGTTTAAAATGAGCCAGACTAGGTTTCAGGGCCCATTGGGAAGGCGGTGGGCTCAAGCAAGTCACGAGGCCCATCTCATTAACTGGACCCCATTTTTCCTGAGGGTCAGCACAAAACAGGTTGACTTCCGTGAGGACCGAGGGGAAGGAGGGGGTGGGCACAGGATGGGCTCAGCAGCAAGGGATGGCACAGCACATGGGGCGGGGGCAGGTGGAGATGACGCAGGTGGGGTGGTAGCAAGAGGTGTGGCAGGACACCTGGCCGCACACGGGGCGCAGGCAGCAGGACCAGCAGGGGCGGCAGCAGCTGGAGCCACAGCAGCTGGAACTACCACAGGAGGGGCGGCAGCAGCTGGAGAT